TAATTAAATTATATAAAATTAATTTTTAATAAGTAATTTTATAATTATATTAAATATTAGGTGTTTTCTGTAAAAGTTATCGCCAGAAAACTTCAAAATGAAGCCTTTGGTTTTATACATAAAATTATTATAAATATACTATAACTTTCTGTAGTTTTAAAAAAAATAATTTTAAAAAAAATTACCAAACACATATATTCTAAAAATGCTACGTGACTACACGAAAAAACTTTTAACTGCAATCCCAAACAATGAAGAGGCTTACCACTTACATCTTGTTGTATACAGCCCATCATCACATATAATTATATTAAAAAAGTGTTTTATAATATGAACTATACATAAAAAAAAATACAATTCACCTTACAAATTTATTAAAATACTCTTAATAAAACTATTTCTTTTGTTATTTTATTAAAAATATTTTAATAAATTCATAAGATAAATTCCACTTTTAGCATATAATTTAAACTGTAAAACATGAATGTACAGATTTTTTTTAAAAATATTGTATAATTTAAATTATACCAAACTACATAACCATCACTATTAGATGGGAGATGGGTCTGCCCTCCACCATCTAAGGGATCTGTTTTACAGTCCAGACAAGTCTGTTGCAATTCGGACCCTAGCACAGGGGACTACTACAATTATGTAATAAAAAGATAGAACTTAGCCGATATTGATTACTCAGGTGGAAAGCCAATACAAAGCGTTCAGGTACTGAATTTTTCCAGCGTGCACCGTTGGCTCATTATGATAACTGTGTAAATTTTTTCATCTAATTAAAGGCCTAGCTAATGTTTTCTCTTTTCTGTTGATCTTCTCTTTCTTTTCTTCCCGGTTGCGACTCCAACTATATTTCTGTTAAAAGTTGGAAGTAAAAAAGTGCATTAGTTGAAGAGGCTTCTCGGTTTTTGAAGCCTGGCAGATTACACTTGACAAAAGAAACAACTTTATTTAGTTGATCTAAGAAAATGCCCCAGCATCAAACTTCTTGCGCAAGGCTTCTGTGGCTGACTGAACTCGTGCTGGATCCTGCAGCCATTTTTCTGGATATTAAGCCAAGCAACAAAAACCAAGAGTTTGAACTTTGAAGTTTAGTGCAATTCTCATTTACCTTGCCTTCGATACAAATTACAAGAGGCCCTTGTCTCGATTCGCGGTAACCCCCTTAATATTGCACAAAAGATCACATTTAGAAGAAGATACACAATTTCTCAGAACAACCAAATAATTTCCAAGATTCTTACCTATGTAAAGGTCTGAGAATTCAAGAGAAAGCTTCAGTAGAGGATGAGCAGCTTCTACCTGCATTTGGAACAGCTAATGAGTGAGAAAAGTGTGCGAGAAAATGACTTCATACATCTTCAAGCTTCAGACGAGCATCAGACGTCTAAACAAAGAGGCTTTGTACTAGAAGGAAGTGTGGTTAAAGTATGCCATATAATTGACAAAGTTGACTATTATTGACAACAGCATAGAAGGGCAAGGTTAAGGCTTACATCTGATAAATGTACTGTTAAATGCTTGGATGAGTATGGTTTCAATGGGACAAGGCAGCCACCAGACTCTGTTGATTCGATCAGACATTCCCATTCCTTTTCCAGCTCAAGAACATTCGTTGCCGAGAAAATGATGACATTTTGACATTTGATCTACGATAGATGATAGATAAGTCAATCAAAATAAGATTTCATGAAGTGTTATGTAAATACAGATAATATCAAGAGGATGGAATAAGTCATTTTTAATTGTTACAGTTGAGTTAGTAACGAGGCAACAATTGGACTATAAATTAATATAACCAACAAAGTGCGCCTTCAGGTTCAGGTAGATACCAAAGGCACAGGTAGCCTTTCATGGTGCAATAGTTCAGTGATGCCCTCTGGTAATTGAGCCATCTGAAGAAGAAAACCCATAAGGTGAGATCAAATTCAAGCTACAAAATCCACATTTTGCAAACAAAAATGAATTCAAATCTATGGACTTCCACTAGTTAGTTTGTTCTTATGCTAGAGTAAAGATTTAATTTTATATAATAATATATGCATGCACTCTTGTTAGTTGTTACTTTGCATCCACGAGAGTCAATGTATATGCAGAAAATAAGGTATGACTTGGAGGTAAATTAATCTTGACATCTACCTCATTTCGATCGCCTGTGCATTGATAACCAATAAGCTTCCTCAGATATTCCTCAAACTCTTCATCAGGAGCCTAAATTAGATAAAGCAAAATTGAAAAAACCTATAACATTTTTAGGGAACAAATAAATTACAAAACCATGGTGAGTTGTAAAATTCAACAAAATTACAAAGCTTAGTGTTGCGAAAAGCATGCCTAGGCCCTAGGCGGTGCTCGACTGCCTCATGCCTAGCCATTTCTTTTATTTTTTAGATTTGATTAATTTTGGCATTTTTTTCAACAAAAGAAAAATGCCTAGAGTTGTTAAGCAGTGGCCCAACACCCACCATTCCCTCGCACTTTTTGGAACACTGAAAAAGAATAAACCACATGGGATCCCTCTACAAGAATACCACACCCCATAAAAAACCTAGTGAGATAGCACTATTCTATGATACATCAATCTAAACTCTACACCTTTTTCTGAACTAAACGAAACTACACTAGAAAAACAAATTGTATAAGTTGAGCCAAAACAGGAAAAAAAAAAGAAGAAAGAACCCGCACCAGACGAACCCCAAATGCCTTTGCTACACCTGCTAAAGTAACATCTGAATGCAATGGACCCAATCCTCCATACAAAAATACCTACAAATCAGGTAAACAAAGACCATATATGGTATTAGAATTTTGGAAGAGATTCGAGAAAACCCTTATAATTTTCATCTCATCAGCACCAACATAGCTCCTTGAATAATTTATAAAGACTATCATATCAATTCAAAAGAAAAAGAGAAGAAAAGAAAAGAAAAAAGGTTTACCATATCATTAGTGGACTTGCGCTGTTCAACCTCTTCAGCCACAGAATCTATCTGGCTCAAAAGGGAAGTCATAAAAGATGAAAATCAACAAATGAAGATTTTATAGCTGTCTTCACCAAACAAAAATTAACTCAAAATGGAGAAAAAGCATTCTAAAAACAACAATGAACTCAAAGGGGCAAAAAAGTTATCAAAGGGGACCTATTCCTCATACTTGATGTATATAAAATATGGGACTAAAGCACTAGGCATAGGCAAAGTATATTTTTCCAAGATGAAAAGCAAGATAGCAAACTCACATCATTTGGAACAACAGCAATTTTTGATACAGACCAACCAATTGAATGTAGCTTTTTGCACAATGAATGTTCCAGCTGATCCTTAACGGAACCAAACCTGAACAAGCAAACAAATACTCAATATCACAAATTTCAGCAAAAATTGTATGTTTGAAAAAATGGAGTATTTAACACTACAGAGACATCTAATGGAGATATCTAGTTGATTTTTAACACATTACACTTCAGAGTTTCTTCTACCATTTTCTGAAATCCACATAACTCATAATGCTAGACATTGATTACCATGTCCATCTCATCAGTCATTGTCACCCTAGTTAAATCTTAAATTAAGCATTAATTTGAAGCACCATAATTAAGAAAACATTAGGCATTGTTATGTAATTTCCATATCATAAACAACATAGTGATTACAATGATTCAAAGTATTAGCACAAACTTGATTCCATAAGATAATAAAATATTGCCAAAACAGCAGCTTGTACCAGACCAGATAATATTATATAGAAGTGACAGTTGGGACACATTTTTAGGACAAATTTATGGTAACCACTGATTATGGTGTGGGTCTTATATGGACCCACATGATCAATGGTTGAAAAGATTTCATCCTAAAATTTGGTCCCAAAAATCATTACTCAATATTATATGCTGACAGAGGTAAAAACCAGATGAAGCGCCCACTGAAGGGATCCATCCCAATGAAACATCTTATAACAAAAAGGAAAGGCCCAGAAGAATAAAACAAGCTCAACCAAAAGCCCAAATGTGCAAATCACCCCTAATTAACTAACATTAGGGACTTACAAAATCTCATCCCCCACAGCAATGATAGAGGCAGTGAGCAGTCTGTTTTGATCTGAATCTACATTAACCATGCCATTTTCATTAGCAGGAAAAAACCTGCCAGCTGAAGCAGAAACCTTTTTCACTCTTCCTGCTCTCTCTAATCTTCCATCAGAAAGCAAATATGCAGGTTTAAAATTTTCTTTGCTGCCAGAGGAGTTGCTTATGGACAGCAACGCATTTGGAACAGTATCATGTATACTCCCAATCGAGGTGTAGCTGTGAAAATCAAATACAGCTGGAGATCATATTGACACTTCCTATACGTTTGTATCAGAACCAAAGCAGTAAGTTCATGAATATAGCATAAGACAAACTGGAGGGATGGGTCCAACATATCAAGCAACATGGAAGATTTATTACCCTTGATCATAAAGACTGCAGTATTGCACCTTGCATGTTAATAAGAATGCCCACACATCTCTACAAAAGAAATACAGAGCAGTCAGAATTAGTTCTAGACAAAACCATCTTAAATGCAATAACATCTCCACAGCATGCAACCATCACATAATCACCCCAGAAGAGAATCAAAAAGAGCATTAACTTGGACTCCCCTAATGTATTGAAGAAGGTTCTCTCCTCAAAGCACATTAGTTCTCCACATTAAAAGAAAAGGATAATAACAAGACAAAAATAAAGAGTCAGAAGATTTAAACCAGTGATACAAATTCTGTTAAGAGAATGCTGATCATCACAGGCAACACACAAATGAATATCAGGCTTTTCCAATTCAGAAATAGACTTCATAAATGAAATTAAAGAAGAACTTTCAAGTATCAGTAAGATGAAATAACATGCAGTTTTTTGGCTCCAATTCTACAGAAGTTACTTAATTAACCAACTGGTGTGTAATGCCTCCCTCTTGCAGGAGAGGGAAAATCAAATTATTCTTAAGTACCTCTGAGAATCAACTTTTTTGCAATTTTCTTATTTCTTATTGATCTCCAAATGATATTGCCCATGAAAATAGGGGTAGAACAGGATAGGAAGGAAATGTAATCACAGGTTATTCTTTTAGTTAACTGCTAAGGAATGAAATGACAACATTTCACAGATTCCTACAGCATGTTAGCCAAGAGAGGCACATCGTTGTATAGAAACAGACCTGTATGACCAATCCAAGATTGGATTCACCCTCATGAAAGGTGGCCATCCAGGTGAACTGGGTGAGAATTGCTCTTGTCCCACCTGCAATATATGTAAAGGAATTTAGGACTTCCTTCAATATTTATATAACAAAATAATACTATAACAGAGTATTTGGGATGATGTCCTGATGGATGGAAATATATGTATCTAAGCTATTATTTTATGGTGAAAAGTTACCGCTGTAGGATCACCAATTCGAACTCCAAGAAATATAGCTCTGATTGGTTTAGCCTTTAGCAAGGTCTCTAAACCAGACTTGAAATCTGTGTGGATAATATCCATTTGCAAGCCATAGCTGCTTATATGCAATAAGCGAATTATAAATTCCAAGCTTTGACATATAAAAGAGGATGAACAAAATGTCAATTATAATTGCAAAGTAGGTCAAACAATTTATCTCACGTAGTGGCTGTATCATAGGTAAATGAGTTGATTTCAGGGAATGCAGAAGGGCTCTCAAAATATATTGTCCGAATTGGAAAATCTGTAAGGCCGCCATTAGCAGAACTTTGTTCTCCTTTATGCAAGAAATAGCCAGCCCTAAGAAGGTGTAGCAATACCTACACATAATATGCAATTTCTATCACCAGAAAAGAAACCAGAAGGACTAATGAAGGGAAATTCAAACTGTAAACTTACAGTTGAATCCTTTCCTCCATTGAAGCTGAAAGCAACCTCTTCAGTTCTGTAGAAGGAAACAGATTCAGAACTTACAAGCATCAATGAACTTGTCAACAGGAAATAATAACAAACCACTACAATGAAAGTTCATTTGATAAGATGCATCTAGAGCACACAAAATGGCTAGTTATTTTCTTCTTTGACATAATTTAAATGAGTCTTATAATTTTAGCAACACCTGGATACAGTATTGTAAAAACCATTTAAGAATCCTAATCCCAATTGAAAAGGTTTAATTTCTTATGATTCCAGAAATGATTACCAATTATTTTAATACATTTTTTTAGTAAAACATAATGAACATAATACACACACATTAGTTAAGAATTATTTGTTGTCCATACCCACAATGGTAGGAAAATATTTAGGGGCATTCGTTTGAACCATGGACTTCTATTAAAACTCATTGAAAATCCTTGTTCGATATGCCACCAGTAAGACCAACCACTGAAGCACCTTCTTACCCCAGGCCTCTCCATCCCCACACATGAAAACATAATTAGGCACAAAAGGAAAGAAGCAAAAACGAAAAGCAATTAAAGTCTCTTGTTCTTAGCCCAAAATGGAAGTAAAGGATCTTAAAATAGTGGCATTGGTCCAGCAAAAAATTCAGACACAACATATCAAACCGCCAATATCCTTTCACCAAATCTTTTCATCTGTCGTTTACTAAACAAACCACAAACCACAAACCCATAATCTCTTTTCTATACTCCACAGAATCGTGGCAATTTGTGGTTAAATCATTTCCTTAGAAATTGGAAATTGACAACAATTTCCGAGTTTGATATTGGAAACAGGCTTAAATGCCAAAAATAACAAGACAACCACATTATACTGAAAACTTTAACTAAAAATGGTACTGTAAAATACTTAAAGAAGATAAATTCTGCCAGAACAGTTCAAAAAATTTGTGCAACAATGGTAACTTCGACCATTTGGTCACAGGAATAATGTAGGACAAGAAAGCAAATTCAGAAGTTTTACTTTTTAAAAAACTTATCTGGGACTGGTCCAGAGCAAACATAAATCTTCCTACACTTGGCTCAGTTCAAAAAAGGTCCTCAAATTTTCTTCCCACAAAATTAGAATAAACATAGTAACATGCTCAAGATTGAGTTTGAGCAGTCAATGTCACCGTCATGACCTCAAATTAATAGGTACATCCAAAAGGAGGGTTAATTCCAATTTCCATTGTGTAATAATATTCAGAAACAAGTTAATACTAATGACCATGATCACAAAGCTGTTAAATTTACCAAGAATCAAGCAATACAGCAAATCCCAGAAGCAGAAAAAAGAACTCACGAGTAGAGAGCCAAAGCTCTTTGAATAACATAGATGGCGTTGTTGTACTTAGTCTTGAGCCTCCGGTCATCACTTTCTCTGATTGCCTTATCAATCTCCATATTCACTAGCACATCAAAATCTCAAACATTAATACCAAACGTGAATTTGAGCAAGTGGGGTTTTCTAAACAGCAAAAAATTTCCAACCTTTGATAAACAAACAACAAACTAGATCACTTTACATTGAATTATAAGCAAATTAAGCAAATGGGTATTCACAGATTCACAAATTTTCGTTGTTTTTGGGAAGCATTTAAAGTAAAATTCACCCCTAAATGGAGGGACTTCCTTGGACTGGAGACTTACACACACAGCTCCTATTCAGCTGTGGAACAAATGAGATAAAGATTGTCTCTTTCTTCCTCGATTTCTCTATATCGTTTTTGTTGGAATCAAAAAACGAAATGGGAGAGATAATGATATTTTCTGGATAAAATGGAAATAAGAAGAAAATATGTAGACGCCACAGCTTGGATATCCCAGGAAAAGCCAGGGGAAGAGGATTATTTTGCGTGTGTGTGTGTGTTTTTTTTTTGCAATGACTCTGCCACCTTCAGAAAACGGCAAAGAGACGTCAACTACAAAACAATGCTGTTGAAACTGAATTCGGGAATCATTGTTAAATACTATAGAAAATTTTCTTATTCTGAATATAAACTATGCTCGAAATTTTGGAAAATTGAAAAAGACACTGGAATATAATACTTCATGGAGGGTTGTATTTCACTATTTCTTGCCAAATAAAGCAAATTTTTGTAGGGGTTTTACTGGAGTCAGAAGATTGATTTTTTTCCTATAAAAATTATTTATCTGCTGCATTGATTTTTTTTTTTTTTTTGTACCAATTTGGTATTAGAGTTGTTAAAATTTTCATTAAAAAAAACTCTTCCAAATCCTAAATTTAATATTTTATTTTAAAAAATTAAAACTTTTCACTCATTTTTTATACCATTACATTGATTTTGTTAACATTAATAAAGGATATTCAGTATGGTAGTTTGTATAAGAAAAATAATTTTTATTTTTAAAATTTTTTTTTCTCATATTCACATTTTTTTATTTTTTTACATAAATATTAAATATTAAATTTTAAAACATGTGATTAAAGTATAAATAACTTTATTGATAGTTACATTTCTTTTTGTTAAGAAAAAACAATGCATTGATTTTTTTTTTTTTTTTAGAATGCATAACGTCTCTCCAAACAGGCAAATTTTAATTATAATATTAGTATAGATAGGAAAATTCAAAAATACTTTAAATGATTATTGGGCAGAGAATCATTCTGGACTGAAATTAAAATTACCCAAATTGGAAAATAATTTTTTTGTTGACTTTTTAAAGAAAACTAATTTAATAAATTTTAACAAAGTGATTTTTATTGTATTTACAGATTCAGTGCAAGCTGCAAATACAGCAGTTTGCCTCAGAAATCAAAATGTGATTATTTGTAATTTTTTTATTTAAAGGCTGAATGCATGACTTTGTCATGGGTTGGTGCAACACGTATCTATGACTTCCTTCCTGCAGCACCTCCATGAAATTTCTATGAAGAATACCACACCAAAAATTCCATCATTCAAATCCACATTTAACTTTGACCGTCAAGTGTTAACCCTTTATCCACTCTAATTCAAGCCACCATTTTCTATGAATTGGTCTTTCACGGGAAAAGAAAATGCAAGGAAATGTTGCTCAAGATCTTTACTTACGTGTACAGATATGGATTAAAGATATTTGAATATGAAACTTTTTGATGTATTCATTTTGACTATCAAATCGGTATCTCATCAATACAAGTTTAACTTTAAGGGGAACTAAATTGTCTCCCTAATTCTCAAAAGTACAAATCTATGTTCACCAGAAATCCATACAAGAGCAAGAACCATCCTCGAAGTGGTGGAACCTCATGGCATCTCTGACGATAATCTCTCGTGCATAAATTTCAGACAGAAACTTGAAGGCTGAGTGACAGTCTCCACAAATTCTGAGATTCTTTATTATTCTTATTGTTTGTCTGGGACTGGAGTTAATCAATCCATATGCTAATGCTAGTTTCTCACTGTGATATGAGACCACGGTTTCCTTCTCTTCTTCATCAATATCAAAAACTACTTGTGATGTATTTGGAACATACCCGGCAGATTTAAGACGTGTTGTCATGTCCTTAAGCATTAATTCGAGCTCCTTGGCCTCTAAGTGTGACTTGTCACTAGCCAAAAACCGATGAAGAACTCCATTCAGCTCTATGTAGCTCCACCCAGGTGGCTTCTGTATGCCTCTATCATCCATCACTTTCCTTACCCTTCTGGCTTCTTCCCATCTGTTTGTGTTAGCAAACATGTTAGACAATAAAACATAGCGAGCTCCATGATCAGGCTCCAGTTCAGTGAGTTTCTGGGCAGCAATGTCACCTATCTCAGCATTTCCATGGAGCCTGCAAGCACCCAGCAGTGCTCTCCATATCACTGAATTGGCTGGAAATGGCATCCTCTGAACAAGATCATAAGCTTCATCTAGGCACCCATCTCTTCCGAGGAGATCAACCATGCAACCGTAATGTTCCATCTGTGGTTTGAGACCGTACACACTCAACATTGATTTAAATAACTTCTTGCCCTCTTTAACTAGCCTATTGTGGCTGCAAGCATTTAAAACTGCCACAAATGTGACTCCATCTGGTCTCAATCCTACCCCTTCCATTTCTCTGAAGACAGATATGGCAATCTTACCGAGCCCATGCTGAGCAAGACCCGAGATCATGGAATTAAAGAGAGAAACAGTTCTTAAATCCTTTGGGATTCCGTGGAAAATATCTAGAGCAATGTCTATGCTTCCACATTTTGCATACATATCTACCAATGCAGTTGAAAGAATTGAATTTTGACCAACTAATTCATCCTTGATGTACCTCTGATGAAGTCTCTCCCCAAAACTAAGAGCTCCAAGCTGAGCACAAGCAGAAAGAATAGCAACCAAAGTAAATTCATCAGGTTCCATGCCCAGACCCTCCATCTGCTGAAAAAGTTCTAATGCCTCACTGTATTGGCCTGCTTGAGAGTAACCAGTAATCATGGCTGTCCAGCAAATTATATCACGTTCATCTGACTGATTGAACATATGTCTGGCAACTTCAGTTTCCCCTGATCGTGCATATCCTGACACCATAGAACTCCAAGCTGCAGCACCCTTGGTAGCTTTCATTGAACTAAATACCTTCTCAGCCATATCCATCAACCCACATTTCGCATACATATCAAGAATGGAAGTCTTGAGCAATATATTTGAATCAGCAAAACCCAGGTACCTGTAAACCAGACTGTGAATCTGCTTCCCAATCTTGGTATCATTCAAGAATGAACAGGAAGAGAGCAAAGCAACAAAAGTGAACTCGTCCGGCTGAATACTAGAATCCTGCATCTCCCTGAAGAGGCACAAAGCAGGACCAGATTGGTACACTTGGGCGTACCCATTTATCATTGTATTGTACGAAACAAGGTCTCTAACAAGACTTTCGTCGAACACATTCTGGGCATCATTCAAGTCCCTGAAGACAGAATACAGATGCATCAGAGCATTCCGAACAAAGAGATCCAATTCAAACCCATATTGGACTATATGACCATGAACCTGACGTCCCAACCCAACACTTGAAACCCTTGCACAGGAATTGAGTAGAAACGGGAAAGTAAAGTTGTTCGGAGTCTCGGCCCCTTCCCGAAGCATGGATGTGTAGAGCAGAAATGCCTGTTGGGGATGATGGCTGCGGGAGTAGCCTCTCATCATGGTGTTCCACATGAACACATTAGGGTGAGGAATTTGCGAGAAGAGAATTTGGGAATGATTAAGACTTTCTTCCGAACCCATCAAGGAAAAGAAGTTGAGTAGTCTGCTCATGGGGAATATTTCGCGGTGCAGGCCATTGAAGATGATTTGAGCTTGAACTTGGAGTCCCTGTTTCAGTGATTTACATGATTCCAAAAGGGATAGCAATGATGAGCCCTCCATAAGAAGCATTTTCATGGGGGTTCCAGCAGATGTTCCTACTCGCAGAATTCTGCAACTCACATTACAAGTACTGAACTATTCTTGCTGGAAGGAAAATGGCATCCTTCTCACTTGGAGTTGAGAGCAAATTTTATAGCAACCTTTGCATGCATTCTGCATGCTATTATCCTTTCCCTCAAACCAAACATACTATAACAGCCAAACCAAACACAGTTAAACTCGAGACTAAAATCAATCCCATTTACTTCTCACCTTTCTTTTACCATAGCTATAATTATCAGAATGGCCATAAATATGGACCAGAGCAATCTCAAGCATCAACAACGAAGGAGAGTTGCCAAAAACACAGATTTTTACTACCCAGAAAGAAATTTACTTCTGCTGAAGTTTAGTTCAATAACGTTTGTTGGTTGTCAACAGCAAATTCTGATGAATTCACTAGCTTTGGCTGTCAGTTAATTCTACACCATATTTCTCTTGTTCATAAGTCAGGAACAAGAGAATTGACTATACTAGCCTAATCGATTTTAGCAGTTAAAGTTCGTAATCCATATAACCTATGAGTTCTGCTTCATCTTTCATCAATCTGAAACAAAAATATGTGCAAGTGCAACTATCACAAATTTCTCAATGATTTAGTCATCTAGGCCTTCCTCGTGCCAGACGTCAACCAAAAGATCCACCATCTCCTGCATTCCACCAGCAAATAATACGTCAGGCACCTACTGTTGATTAGAAGTAGAAAGAAGAACGATCTTCTCGGACACTTACAGCTAATGGGATTGGCTGCTGAAAAGGTTCAGTAGAATAAAGTAAATCCTCATAAGTTGTGGTCCAGCTGCAAAAGGAGATTTCATGGTTAGCTACTTTAGAAACAAAAGTAAGTCCAAGGTGACTGTTGGCCCCTATATTTAGGAGGACCTTCTTAGAAACTCTTCAAATTTAAATTGCATCATAACAAAAACATGAAGGGGGCAAGGCAAAATGTTAGCCATTGGTACAAAGAACGGACAAAACTAGTGATAATGTCAGGAATCTCATTTTACAATGATAATTAATGTTTCATCTAGATAATTAATTGCAAACGACTTATTATTTGAAGGGTGGCTGAGAACCACAAAATGAGAACACTGAGCTACCACAAGCCTAGAAAAGTAAAGAGAACATCTAAGGATAAGAACATGCAAATGCTTATTTTAGACGGGTGAGCCATCGCTATGCTGCCTTGATTGATTTCACTACTTCCTTTGATTCTTCAACCTTGACATGGTTTTCAGTCCTTGCCCCTGCTATCCATTCATCCATCATGACAAGGAGCAAGGAAAAAAGTTCTGATTATAATTCTTGAAGTCAAGGGCAGTCTAGTTAACCCTTCTAAAGTTTCAACCTCATTACACATGGATGCAACCACATTATGGAAAAGAGAAAGAAAAAATAAAATCTAAGCCATGAAAATAGAAAATCTCATAAAACTTATGGTTGTTAGACATTTTTGCAAACTTGTTTCAAGCTTCCCTAAGATTTACTAATGATTTACTTATACCAAAAATTGAAGAGATGCAAAATGATACTCTATGTTGGCAGATTCCTGCAGAGTGTGGAAAAACGTTCCCAGCATGTACCTCATTATTGGCTCTCGGGGAATTCTTTTTGACCTTCGAGACTGATCACCAACCCATTGTCTTCTCATCTCATGCCAACTTATCTCAGCTGCGCATTAAAGTAACCCATATTATTTTACACACATGGTTCACTTCAAATGGTCTCACCAACATGCAGGAAAATTCTTACTGAACATTCAGAGATTAGACTATGAGGTACCTCACCTTTTACAAATGCTAGATAACTTTATTAAGATAAATAACATACAAGTACCATTCTATCCCAACACAAAATATTGATAAATTCCATTAAAAAAGTTAATATTCAATAGAAGCATTTAGAATAACACCACTAAAAGAGGGAAAGAAGAATGGGGGAGAGCTGGGGAGTGGGAAGGAGGCATGACGAAAGTCTGACGTGACCACCTAACTAATCACATAAATACACCCTTCAATCAATGTGACAATGTTAGAATCTACAAACTTCTTACAATTTCCAGATTCCTTTAAAGAATTATTATACTTATTGTGAATAAACGGCTACTAACAGTTGTAGGGAAGGCAGGATGACAGTTTACAAAGACAGGCTTCCAAGGGAAAAATCAGGAACTTTAAAAGCAACATACCATGGTTAATAAAAACCTCTTTTGTAGTTGATTGCTCTTTGCTAGAATTATTTGAGCCCCTTGTAGGCTGATTTTCATGGGAGTTGGGATTTTTACCATTGGATTCCATTGATTTCAAATTGGACAACCATCACCTTCTAAACTACCGTGGTTCTACTGGAGGGGGAAGAAATTATAAATTCTCTGCATGAGAAACAAAAGTATTCTTCAGACCAGAACAAACAATTGCATCAAAATTCATGTGGCAAGAAACAGAAGCAGCTGATGTCATAAAAGAACTGTTTTTATTGAATTATTAATTTAAGATGCACCAAATTACAAAGTAAACCAAGAAATACAGGACATCAGAAACTTATCAAACATTCAATCAAAACTATGAGTTTTTCCTCCAATAACCACTTCTGTAAAACAATCCTTATCAGATTCTGCTGGTCTTGGGTGAAAAATACCGACGAAACTAATTAAAGAAAAACTTAGTAGTTACCATATAATTGCTTCATTGGTCGCGACCCCCTACTTAATCCAGAACTAACCATTCTACATGTATGAATCTAAACAGATAAAAGATCAAAGTTTGGAAGGTTAATCATGAGACAATTAAAAGCAAAATTTAATCCTTCTACCCCTAATCACCCTAATTTTGAAGTAACTTCCCCAAGAAAACCTACTCCTGGTGGAAGACACTTATAAATAAAGGGCATGAACCCGAGTGGGGAAGAAGAACAAAAATGAATTTTAAGGGTCTAATCCATCATATTCTTGATAATTATCAGGTATGGTCTAGCCCAAATGGCACAATGAACACCAGAAATTGCATACATTTTCTTATAACTTCAAAGCCCAAATTTTTTTGAAACAAAGTAGGTTGGTTGTTTAAACAGAAACCCTACTTATTTCAAACATTTACTGAAAGCATGTTCTCTATAGTTTTGTAAACAACCTGCAAAACAATCACCACAAAAAGAATTTTATGTCTACATTTTTTTTTTTGCCAGTTTAATCTATATTCAGATAAAACAGGAAGAAAATAAAGGCTCCGAGCAAAAACTAAAAAAACCCAGTATTCAACAGGAAAACAGATTACTATCAACAAGAAAAATCCACAACCATCAAGAAGACCTAACTTATCCACCTCCACTGAAAACAAAGCAAAAATTACAAAAACCCAGTATTCTTTCACAAAACTTGCAATGGAAACATAATCTGAAACAAAAAAACAATGTGAACAAACAAAAGCCCACATAAAAAAAGGTGAATAATTTGACAAAAAGGAGGCATCATTGTGAACAAGAAAACCAAAGAAGAGAAGAGGAGACCTTGCCTAACAAGGTTTTTTCAACTTGGAACTGTATGGAATGTGTACGGGGGCGTTTTCGATTGTAAAATAGTGTTCTAAAAAGCAAGGAACTTTGACTTTAGGTATTTTGTGACTGTGAGAAAGGACGGTGTTTTTGAAGACTCGGGATTTGGTGATAAAATAAAGGAGACGGCAAAAGCTTCGGAGATTGCGGAGAATATCCTGGATTTAATGGATGAGATTTATGCAACTTGATCTTGCCTGTTACGTGGCATTGCAATAATGGAAGTACGGACGCACAGAACTTGTAAATGGATCATTCATTTTTTAGGCAAAAACTCATGTTAAGCCCCTCAACTTTTTCGACAGCTAATGATAAGCCCCTAAACTAAAAAGGTGGCAGATAAGCCCTCGAACCCCACGCAAGAAGCAAATTAGCCTCTCCACTAATTGAGCTCTGTCACGTCGTTAGTGCAATAGCTTGCCTTTGACATTCAATTGATTCCAACGTGTCTCCAATGTGGTTTCAGTGGATCAATTAAATACAAATCCATCGACCCATGAAATTCCCAAAAGATTTGGAGATTTAGGATTCTAAAAATTTCTCTCAATTCTCTTACCGTTCTCTTCCTCCGATCTCTTCTAATTCTCTGATTCTTTCATTCTTTGATTCTCGGATTTTCTAATTCTCCTTCTCAATGGACCCATCCATAGCATTAAGATACCCAAAATATTTGGGATTTTAGGGTTCTGAAAATTTCTCTCAAATCTCTTACCATTCTTTGCCTCCAATCTCTTCTAGTTCTCTATTTCTATGGTTCTCTTTCTCAATCGTGAAGATGCCTCGATCTCAGTCTTCACAAGCCCAATCCTCTGCCTCTACACCAAAAAGCTATGCACCCAAAAGCTTTGCGAACAAAAAATCTGCACCCAAAAAGTCGTTCGGGAGTTGCTTGGTAGCGACAGGGTTCTTTAAACCAGAATACAAGTATGAAGGTAGGAAATGGTATTGTAATTGTGGCACTGCTTCTCCAAGAATCACTGCATGGACTGAATTAAATGTAGGAAGGAGATTTTATGGTTAAGGGAAATTTTAATGTTTTTAGTTGATTGTATATTTTTTCTTGTAATTTTAATGGATTGAATCAAATTCTAATGTCTAGGGAACAATGCTTTTTTTTTTTTTCCAATTATTGTGATTTTCAACAAGAGGAAGTGGAAACTTGTAATGCATTTGAGTGGCATGATGCTGAGATTGTGGGAAGAGCACATGATGTTATTTGGCACCTAAAATTGAATTATGAAAGTTTGCAATCTGATTTTGATGAGCTTAAAGAACGCCAAAATGGTGGAAATGATAACATTGCCAAAGCTTTTGAGAAGTTGACTGCGAGGGTGATATTTATTGAGTCTTCCATTGAAGAGGTTAAGTTTACAGTTGATTCAACATGTGACAATCTATGTTTTGCTCTACAGAGATCAATTAAGGAACAAATGAATAAATTTCAAAGGAAATTCTTTGTTGTGCTTTTAGGTTTGCTGGTTGTGTTGTTTTTGTTTAGTAAATTGTGAATTGGTAGTAACTGCAGGAATATGGCATTTATTAGGTTGTTTTTGATCCTTTTTTCTGGCCAACTAAAAAACGGTTATGCTTGTATGATGGCCAAGAAGATAATGGCTATTTTTTGTCTTAGATAATGCCATAAGTCCTGCCTATATCTATCAAATTAAAGGAAATGAAAATCTAACTTTCATAGCAATCGATGAGTTCCAAAGTGTACTTGATTAGTACCCAAAAAAACATACAAATTCTAAGCCAGCATCTACAGTGACTTAATTCCAAAGTCTACTAATTCGGTAACAAAAAAAATACAAGTTTTCAGCTAGCATCTACAGTTACTACAATGACTTAATTCCAAAGTCTACTGCTTTGGTAACCAAAAGAATACATGTTTCCAACCAACATCTAGAGTTACTATAGTGACTTAATTCCAAAGTCTACTGCTTTGGCAACCAAAAAAATACAAGTTTCCAGCCAGCATCTACAGTAATTGAATTCCAAAGTCTATTGCTTTGGCAACCAAAAAAATACAAGTTTTGACCCAACATCTACAGTGACTTAAATCCAAAGTCTACTGCTTTGGTAACCAAAAAATATACATAACATTGATAATTATAGTAAGTTTCTACTTAAAAGGCAGTCCAAAAGTTGTCTTCCTTGCTTAGACTCATGTCCTCTCTTGAAAAGGAGGAACAACAAAAATGTTTCTTGAGTCTCTAAACTGGGCTACACCTGAAGTTGTTGCTGGAATTGCATTAGTAGAAACTAGTGTTGAGTTAACTACTTCATGAGAAACCCTTGGGACAATTGCAGCTGCACTTGTATCCTCTCTAATTCTCCACTTAGTAGGCATTCCAAGCTATAAATGCAAATTTTTTAAGAAATTAAATTAATTTTTGCAACCAAATGAAATCAATTTTTGCAACCAAATGAAATCAATTTTTCTCAACAAATTAAAAAGAACAAAACAAATGGATTTAATTAGCTACTTTCCAATACTTACATCCAATATAATTTCACCAGTAACATCATTTCTGAAAATGCCAAACCCTTTTTCCTTTTTCTTTCCTTTTTGCTTTCCAATAGTAGCGACCTTGGCCTTACCTTTGTTTTTGGTTTGAAATGATTGTGTTGTTGGTGTTGGTAATGGTAGATTTAAAGCAGCAACCTAAGTTTAAAAAGTTGTTCATGATATCAATTTAGTTAGTTTAATGAAATAACACCTTAAAAAAATTTAAATGAAACTCACTCACATCTGTTATAGGGGTATTGTTAATTGAATTAACCACAGATGATTGTGAGATGTTCAAGGTTACAGCTGTTGGTCCCACATCATTCCTTCTCGTTTGTTCCCTACCCTGTAATCACCAAGTTATTATATGCATGAAAATTTTGGTAAATTTAAAATGTATAAATAATTAAGTGATATTGGGAAACATATTACAGTTGGTTTCTTCCTATGATATATAGCAGATGGTTACTTTTTTTTTGTTTGACTTGAGGATGCAGTGGATGTAAGGGTCTACATAAAAAGGGAAGGGGGGAATCTAATTAGATACTAAAGAGGTAAATGAGTAATAAGCAAGCAAACAAATAAATAGAGAAAAAAAACCTCATTATTAGTTACAAACGAGCATCCTGATTTGTTATGTCCTTCTTGTTTACAATAGGAGCAAGTCATAATCCTTCCTCTCTTGGACATTTTAGACTTGGACAGTTTTTTTGGCTCATCTTTTGCTTTTCTCCTATTTTTCTTAGGCCTTCCAAGCCTAGTTGTAATTGGAGGAGGATTAATAGGATCTCGATGGAATTTTTGCCAAGATTTATCACCACACATGGCCTTAATAGGAAAATTATATGATTGTTGATATTTACCCATCCTATACCAGTCAACCACAAAATCTTCAAGATCTAGATTCTCATGAAACATGCAGCAAATAACATGTGGGCAAGGAATTCCGTTCAGTTGCCATGCTCTACATGTACAAGTTCTCTTTTGTAGATCTACAGCATGTCTATCATTCTTATGTTTAACTTCAAATCCAGAGGTTCCATCCTGAAGCAATTTGCATTCAGAGGATTTATTCTTATTCTTCCCTAACTTTGTCTTCACCCTTGGAGCAATGTCCCCTTTCCATTTATGAGAGGATGACATCTTCTCAGCAATCCTTTCCATCAATTGTTTCCTCATAGTGTCAACTGAACTAATAATGGCTTTATACCTTGCTTCTATAATCCAAAAATTAAAAGACTCACACATGTTATTGTCCATGATATCATAGCAGGTATCCTCATCAAAAAAAGCCTTACACCAGTACATTGGAGGGATTCCTGCTAAATCTGACCATGCTTGCTTTGACAATTTCTTCAGCTCCTACACTTGGTACTCAAATTTAGCTTGCCATGTAGCTCTTGCTATAGCCTAGAACCTCTTTTTATATTCTTCGCCTTTATAAATTTTAGCCCAATTAGCATATATGTGTCATGCACAAAATCGATGGTGTGCATTTGGAAAAACCGATTCCTTTGCCGCTATAATGCCCTACACAATAAAGTAATTTCATTCTCATTAATATAAAAATAAATAAAATATATTATAATTATTTAGCAAACCTTATTTAATGCATATTACCTTGTGCATGTCTGAAATAATTGTTAAACCTGCTCCATCTCCACATTCAATATCTATCCTCAACAAATCCATGAACCACTCCTAGTTTTCCTTATTCTCTATGTCAACAATAGCCCATATCAATGGGAACATTTGATTGTTCGCATCTCTCTCAATAGCTGTTAATAATATGCCTTTACAAACTCCTTTCAAGAAACAACCATCTACACCAATAATGCATCTGCAGCTAGCTTTCCATCCCTTCTTACATCCATCAAAACACATGTACATCCTTTTAAATTGGTACAATGTTGAGCCATCAGTGTCTGTTCCAATAACACATGTGGAGCCAGGATTAGTAACTAGCATATGTTCTCCATAACCTCTAAGAAGCTTGTATTGCTCGATGTAACAACCTATTAACTCATTCTTAATAAATCTTTTAGCTCTTTGACATTTATACTTTGAAACCTCTACCTTCAATTCTGCTTTCACATGTTCAGCAAGTTGCATACTGTTCATATGGGGGTAGTTAGTAACAAGTGTTCTCAATGCATCGACCAAGAAGCTCTTGGTTGCCATTTTGTTTTTGTTTGATTTAAAACATGAATGTTTTGCTTTATAAGTTTTCACCTTGAATGTATCATCTGAATTGTTGAAACTAGCAAAAATTTCCCATGAACAACCATTTTTCATATCACGTGCAATCCTCTACCTCCCTGGCTCATTCTTTTTCCAGTGCAATTTGCATCCCTTCTTAATTGAGTACTTAGCAATGGTTGCCTTAAATTGCACTACATTTGCAAACACCATTCCAACCTCAAAATGTGGAGAATCAGAGTTTGGGTCATAATGCAAGCTATTAGATGGTCTCCTTAAAGCATCATCCTTGGCATTAGGGTCTTCGATGGAGCTATCACTGTAGAAGCTATTAGGGTTTGAACTGTCAATATAGGTATTGCTATTACATGAACTATTGGCCTCATCATCTTCAAAGTCTAAGTTGTCAACTAGTTGAAGGCCATTTTCATCAACACTATTAAGTTCACTGATTCTAATGCCTTTAGAAGTAGATGTTGATCCTACAACTTTGTTCTTTGCTTTATGATTTTCCTTCACCACCTTTTGCTTCCTTTTATCTTTTCTTTGTATTACATGCAAATTGCTAGGACCCTCATTTACACCCATCATCACAACATGTTTACTAATCCTAACCAACAATTCTTCATCATCAGCATCACTACCTAATGCATTATCATCTAGCATTGTATTTCCAGCACCATCTCTACAAGAAAGCTTGGCATTTCTAACAACCAAGTCTCCATCAGTAGCAGCAAGATAATGCTCGACAAAAACATGGCACACAGTTGATTGGATTAATATTTTAGCTACCTCAATTATTTCAGCATCACCATTTAAAGAATGAAACCCATGTACCATAGACTCAGCCAAGGACAAATTAAAAATTCTGTAATATAGTGACTTGAATGACCCATAACCTAATTCTCCAAGCTTGTTTACAATATCCCAATAACAAAGCTTATCAATATCCCAAACAAGAAGATCATATGTTTCCCCACTGGTGTAATGAGAATAATTTGTATCAAATCTACAGTCAAAATGTATACAAATCTTAAAAGGTGGATCATTAGACATTGTTGTGAAATACAAAAAACCATAACTCTAATCAAATTCTTTAACAAATTACTAGATATATGATATACAATAAGGATAAATTAATCTAAAAACACTAAAATTAGACCACAAAGAAAGTCATTGAAAACCACCCAAATCCTAATCTAAATCCTAAATTCTAATGCTTACTAATAGAAGAGCACTGTTATTACTTATCAAAATAAATTGTGTTCACCATAATTCAATGAGACCCACTTAACCCAAATCTCAATAATTAAATATATAATAACAATTAAAGATATACACTGTGAGGCCTGAGATTGTTCTTGTTATCATTATTATTATTATTATTATTATCTTTCCAATTAAGTAATGACATATTAATGATTGCAATTTTCATATTTTTGTGTAATTCTCCATGCTTAAAGCTTTCAAACTGTAACATTGCCATCTTGTTTCGACTTATGCAGTGCATGTGCCTTATTCTTTCTTGTTAAGCCAAGAACATAGTTGTGCCATTATCATCATTTTGAAGCATTTAAGTTTCATGATGGAATAGCTTTATTGTCAAAACATGTGCCGAAATCTAATTTCCATTATCTATGAACATTAGTATTTCAATTGTTATCCTAATCTAAATCTTAAATCCTAATGCTTACTAATAGAAGAGCACTGTTATTACTTATCGAAATAAATTGTGTTTACCATAATTTAATGAGACTCACTTAACCCAAACCTCAATAATTAAATATATAATAACAATTAAAGAATGAACAAAGAAATCACTACAAAACCCATGTGAACAATACTTTAATCTTCAATAATGGCTACTACCTACCTGTACAGGACGAAAGCAACTTGAGATTGTTGAAGATTCTCAAATCTAGTCCTTGTGGTCCCTTCTTTGTTTGACAAGGCCAAAAAAATGTTTGCCTTCTTC